GCATTCGTTATATAGACCAGCTGTTGAAAATCTTATATTGGATGTACGCGCTTACGGATTAATCGATAACTGGTTTCATGCAAATTTTTATGATATGGTAATGGCCGATAGAGTTTCATTTACAGATAAAAGCAATCCGAAGGTGTATGGAGGCTCATTAAAAATTGAAGACTTGCAATGGGTGTGGATTACATATATATTACTAATAATTTTAAGTATTTGGATTTTTACTGTAGAATTTTTTATCGCACATTTTATTATTAATAAATAAAGGAAACTTATAAAATTTCCAAATGAATTACCGCTTTATACAGCTTCTTATAACGTAGAAGACTACTGCTTAATGATACCATTGCCAAGCTATAGACGAACGTGTGATATTTTTACGGATATTATTCCGTGGGGTCTCAGAGCTATTACACCAATTATAGTATTAATATTTGCTTTACTGTTTCTGTGCAGTATGCATCAAAGTCGAAACAAGATTTCTTACTTGGATATATTTTTGAATGATAAAAGTATTAGAGGTGTACTTGGACAATCATTTACGCTGCCCAGTAAATTGAATTTAAAAACCAAATTAATTTGTGCACTTCTTTGCTATTACAGTTTAATTGTTAATACAGGCTATCAAGCAAATTTACAATCGCTTCTTACACATCCACCAAAAGACACCACAATGAAAACTTTCAAGGACTTGGAAGATGTAGACTTTAAGATTTCTTTATCACGTTTGGAGTTCAATATGTTTACATTAAACAGAACAATTAAAAAATTATTAAGATTTGAGGAAACTTACCGAGACTTTGTGAAATTGCGTGAATCAATGAATACGAGTTATGCCTACCCAGTATCTCGTACACGTTGGCAGGTGTTTCATGAAAGACAAATGACTTACGAAAACAACGTTTTTTACTATGCCGATAATATGTGTTTCCTCAAATTCATTGATCTTAGTATACCGGCTCGTAAATATTTACCCTATCGTAATGTGTTTGCTGAGCATATACAGCGCTTACACGCAAGCGGGTTAATAAATTATTGGACATCCTTTAATTTTTACGATATGGTTAGGCAAAATCTTACAAGTTTAGAGGATATAAGTGAACCAGTAAAATGGGCTCAACCATTAGGTTGGTATGATTTGATAAAGGTATGAATTTTGTATATTTTTGGTGCTGTCATCTCTTTGTTTGGATATACTTTGAAAAAATAACTTGGATATATATGCAGAAGCGTAAATTTAATCGGAAATTATACACTAAAGCGTATAGTAATAAAAAGAATTCATTTATGTATTTACCATAGTTATATCTTACATAATAAAATAAATGCAAATACATATTTTTACATATTATTCTTCTTTATGCATTTATAAGAGTAGAAATTGGTGGATGAAGATTTGATTTTCACAAGTTTTATATAAATTCTTATTATTATTATTATTTTGGTATATTAAAAGATTTGTTCCGTGAGTGCTGGCTGTAGCGAACTAGTGACTTATCTAAAGAATTAAAAAATTTATTAATAACACACGTACATTAAACTATTTTTTTCGTATATTAGAAGTTTGAAAAATTATTTCAATAAAACAGAAAATACATATTATAAGGACCCTTGTCATCTAGAAGTATTCCTATCATCTTAATTTATCATTAAACGTTTTTAAAATCCGCTTCACAGCAGCAGATAGTGATCAATTTGAATCCAAATCTTTGCAGGAGTACAGAATAACAAAAGTCCAACTAATTGATGTAAAGTGCATCATCAGACCTTGTGTTATGATCATGACAACAATAGAAAGGCAGCAGAAAGAAAAATCTTATAGAATGACAGAATATTAAAATCAAGTGTCAGTAACCGCAATTCATGTATGAGATTGGAGAATGAACGGACAAAGTGGAAATGTGTGAAGAATATTTTCACCCGACTATGTAATTCGGATAAGTAACCACAAATTATTATTTGTTAATCTTTTTTATTACTATTATTTTCTATGATACTAGTATTTTGTCATAAACAAATGTCAACATTTCACACATCTTTCACAATTTTTCTATTTTCAAATACACTCCTCTTTCAGCATCACGAAAGTGTTTATTCAATTTATATTTCATAGGTATTTGTGTTTCTTTGGTGGGAGAAAATCGATAGTTTTTAAGCATCATATATAAACCAATTATAATTTGCATATAGGCAAATCTGTAACCAATACAAGCTCGTGGTCCTTTGCCGAAACCCATATATGCCATTGGATGACGTTTTACAATTTCTTCTGTCGAAAATCGGTTGGGATCGAAACGTTGAGGATTTGGATATATGTCTGGATCATAATGTAAGGCATCAATTGGTAAAAGAACTCTAGTTCCTTCTTCAATGACATGATTTGTATTTGGTAAAATATAGTCCTTGGCAGCTTTGCGTACGATAACCGGTACAACTGAATACTTACGCGTTGTTTCTGATAAAAAAATATAAAAATATATTAGTTTCAACATTCAGTTTAGTACATATAGTGTTTATGGTACATACCGTACATACAGTGAAGTAAATACTTCATTTCTTTAACTGCTTCATAAGTAAGTTTGCCATCATGCTGAGCCATAACTGCATTCATTTCCGTCCGAGCCTTCTCTTGAATGTCTGGATTTAAAGCCAGTTCGTATAAACAAAAACTCATTACACTTGAACTTGTTTCAAAACCTGCTACAAAAAATAAAAATGTCTGTGCAGTTATCTCTTCCATTGTTAAAGCATCTGATGTCTCTGATTTTCTTAACTCCATTAATATATTAAGATAATCTTTTCGTTGTATACCCGTTTTCTCTCGATATTCTACAGTGTCACGAACAATTTGAAAGAAGAAGTCTGAAATTTCTTTTGGAAACAGTTTCATTCTGAATTTTCGAGCTAAATTTGGAAAAGTACTCATAAGCGAAACCACAGGCATACTGTGTTTAAAATAACCAATTTTTTCACAAGTTTTACTAAATTTACTTGTTGGTTCCTTTAATCTATTGCACTCTAAACCGAAAGCAACGCTTCCTATAACGTCTGTTGTATAGCGTGACATAAGATTTGCAAAATCAATTCCTACATTCATATCTGTAGAGTTTCGCTCATCTTCCAAAACACTGATTAATTGATCAGCTACATCGACGACAGTGGTAAACATACTTTTTATTTTTCCTGATGTGAAAGTTGGAGTAAATTTTGTTCGTAAATTTTTCCAGTGTTGTCCATCTAAAAGCAGCATGTGAGCAGAAATTGGATCATCTCTTTTATTAAAATACTGTCCTCGATCTGTAAAATTTGCAAAATCCTTAACACATATATGCTGAATTAAATCGGGATCGAGCAGTATAATCGTTTTGTTGAGAAAGAAATAAAATCCAACGAATCGTGCTTTTTCCTTGAATTTCATATAATATTCTTGGAAAATATCATACAATGTTTTGGTGCGATAAAATTCCTTAAGATTTCCGAAAAAAAACACTGGTTTATCGTGCAATACACCGCGGTCCTTAAAATATGAATATTGCTTCCGTAACGCCAAATAAATAAGCAGGAAGCTGCCGCATATAAAACACACAAGAATTTTTATTAAGTCTATCATGGTGTCTCTACTGTTCGTTAAAGGTTGTAAACTTGACTGTCACTATTTATATGTACAACACCAATTAAATAGTTTTATTTTTAATAACTTATTGTATTAAAATAAAATAAAAACGTAATTTACATAGCTTTTTAATTGTCTTAAAATGAAAATTACTTCAACGTCAATTAAATAATTGCTTTTATTGTAGTCTTTTTTAAATCATTGCTTATTTAATTACATATTATTGGGACTTTGTCCTCTACTATCCTAACTCCTATTATCTTAATTGATACTTAGTTGTTTTAACATCCGTTTCACATCAGCAGATATTGATATATTTGAGTCCAATTTGGTTCAGATAAATATTTAGCTCATTATATCTTCATAGAAACCTAACAGAAGTTTAGCGTTATATCATTTATTGCTACTCTTCATATCATTCTTTTTTTCACAATATACGTCTTCGAAGTCAGTCCTATTGTTATGATCATAATAACAACACGAACGTGAAGTTGAAAGGCGTACAGAAAAATCCTTTCGTTCACTTTCATATCTGCTTATTACTCTCGAGGCCACATCCGATATGCTTTAAGCTTACTTTCTGGAAATCTTCATGAACCGTAATCGGAACAGTTTCATGCCATAACACGATTGGTATAACTGAAATCACTGGTATAATCTGAAATATGCTAAAAATTCAATGTAAATATAAAGTTAAATAACTTTGAAAAGAAAAGAAAGAATAATTGATACGCAATATAAACTTTCGTATGAAGAGTATTAATAATTCGGCAAAGCTGAAGTTACATCTATTTTCATGTTTTAATTCAATTAAGTATATGCTATTTTTTCTTGAAATTGCTGTCAGAAAAGCTCTACTCATTTAAAATATTATACAAAATGGGTTTATTTTTAAGTAGTAAGTTTTTATTGTTTTGTTTAAAAAAGTTTAGATAAATGTGTTAAGTTCTAAATAATAACAATTTAACTAGATGAATCGTCATCGTCATCGTCATCTGTGCGAATCGTAGAGTAACATTGGCATGACTTTCACAGTATTACGTTCCTAGATTAGGTTTTATACATTAGAAAGAATATGCAACAAATAATGCCTCTACAAACAGTATAGTATAGAAATTTAACAATTAAAAATAAATATATATAATTAATTAATTAAATTATCATTTCGTTCTAATATAAACACAGCAAGAGTTTTTATTAATAACATATAACTTTCACAACAAATTAACAAAACTCCAGGAAAATGTGCGAACATAAAAGTAATACCTCTCTGCTTAACGCTAAAGCACAAATCATTCGCATTACTCCCGACGTTCTCCAACCTAGTACCCTGCTATATGACTTGAAATCCATAATTCAGTACAACTCTCCTCAATATCGTTCATTATACTTCAAATCCTTGCATTTAACTATTTCCATCATTCCTCTCCATAACCGTCATTTTCACGATTCCAGTTATAGAGCCTATAAGTAACCTGCCAAACGTGCAGGTTATATTGCCAGACAGATGAAGACAGATGCTTTCTTCGATTGCTAATGTGTTAAAGAAAGTAGGACTAGAGGACATCAATATCGCAAATAGTGTTGCACAGATGAAGAGACAAGTACAACATTAGAACAAAATTTTACAATACATTGAAAGTATGCCTTAAAACAAGAGACAAGACTTTATCATAAGTTGAAATAAGACGAAAAACCATTTGGAGATCCTATCTTCAAGTAATGTTGCGATAATTCTAGTGTAATATAGACTCAAGTAATGAGACGATTTTTTAGTCCATTTAAATCAGACATACCACTAATGTGATAATGATTGACGATGCATTAGGCTATTTTCAAAGACAAATCCACAATATAATGTGATTTTAAAAAGATTGTCCATAATACAATAAATTTACAAAATGAAGTTTATAATTTTATCATTGTTTAAAAACAAAATTTAGAAATATTTCACTATTTGAGGAAAGAACTGTTCTCCAACAATCTTTAACATCACTTTTTCTTAAAGACTGTAACTACTTCAAAATACTTCGTAAGTCTTCAGTGGAATATATCAATACACTTTTGTTTTCGTATGAGTTATTGAAAGCCTCATCTACTTTTAGTGACGTTGGAGACACATATCTTAAATTATTGAATGTGTTAACTACCTGTAATAAGATGAGGTCACATGGAAGGTAATTTCATATATCTCTTATATATATATAACTTTTTGACATATAGATTATACAAGTGTCTTTATAGATTATATGAAGTCTTATAGAGATCCTGCATGAAAAATTAACTTCATTCATTCGTGTACTTACTTTTTTGAACAACTGCTTAGATTTATATTTAATTTATTTATTTTAATTTATAAAATTATATTTAACGCACTCATTTGATTACCTCAATTACTGTGCATCTAAGTTGACAACATTTGTAGATATATTGTTATATCGATCGATGTCATTTAGGTTATAGATATATATATATACATACATAATTTTTTCAAAAGAGTAGTAAAGGTATTGTATAATAATATAATATTAAAACAAATTAAAACAAAAATTTAATCCATAAAACTGTAGAAAATACGTTTTATTGGCTACTACACAGATTATTTATAGATATAGATAATAATAGTAAGAACTTGCCCTTACCAGCAAATGTACCGTGTCCAAATAAACGGTACGGTAATGCTTTATAAGGTAACATATAAACGCCCATGAATTATAACAATAGCCACTTTTTCATCAAATCGAAATATTTTTTATTGCTATGTATGTACATAATAGTGTTTTTATTTAACTGTTTTTTTTAATTGTTCGTTTGAAATGTATTTCAATATTAAAGTAAAAAGTTATGAAAATAAATTTCAATATAAGCGATTTATTTTTACAGAGTTTATTCATCGGAAGGATTGACTCAGAAAAAGTTAATTTATTGCGTTCAGTATTTTTGGAAAATGTTTATTAAGTTCTATAGCATCTGCCTAACTTATTTATCGATATTTACAACTAATGTTATACTTAAGGACAACCATCTTACATTGACAACAATACGTGCGGAGTTTCAAATTAACCATCGGACAGCTGTTTATGAAATTCTTTTAGATATATTATCTAAACATAATTTTGAAACAATATATCTAAAAACCTCTTCAACTTGTTCGCTATCTAAATTAATTGGAAATCTGACCATACCAGTTATAATAGACGATTTACGTACAAGCTCCCAAATAAAGCCTACAATCAACAGTAACCTCATAGCAATTGTCTTCTGGAACAAGAACCTCAGCATAAGTACGTTAAATCTGTTAGTACAAACATTACATAGTATGCGAGAAACGAAAACAATGATCTATGTGTCTACAGCTTCAGAAAAGTACTCATTTAAATTAGTTGAAAACATACTAAGTTTCTTTTATAATCATAAAATGTTTAACGTTTTTGCTTTCATTGGAGACTCCAGTTATAAATCTGAGTTCTACACATTCTGGGCATATCCGAATTTCCATATAGTAAAAGAAAGTGTAAACGCTTCAGCAGATTATTTTCCAAATAAATTTAAAAACTTACATGGTACTAGTATAATAACACTACCAGACCAGTTAGAACCAAGAACAATAGTGCACAGGAATAAATTGGGTCAACAGGTGTTAATTGGTTATGTCGGGAAATTCATGCTCACACTCGCTTGGAAATTAAATGCTACACTGAAATATGCACGACCAGTAAAAGGTGGAGAAATCATTTTTTATGGTGATTTACTTGCGTCAACAAAAAATGGAACCTTGGATATGCCAGCCAATATTCTACCCATTACAAATGTAAGTGACTTCCACTATTTTACTTATCCATTCGAGTTTGTCCATTCATGTTTAATGATTCCAACAGCAAAGGATGTACATTTGAAAGATATCTATTTATATATATTTAATCTTAAGTTCGTCGTCATCTGTGTGATAATTTATTTTACTTTTACACTTTTTCTCATGTTACACCAATTAAAGTTGACCACTCTTCGATATAAACGAAAACATTGTCAATGTCACATATTCGAATTTATACTTAATGATGTCACATTGCGTGGTTTATTGGGTCAAACCTTTAACATGTTGCCCAATGCAAATATTACGCTTAAACTAGTATACATATTGCTATCCTTA